TAATAATATGTCATAAAGAAAACAGTTATGTAGGATGATATACATTGTTAAAATAGTCATTCACTTTTAGTCTAGGTTTGGGGATTGTAACTTAAAGAATTTAACTATGTTTATCCATGGCAGTTCTTCAGAGGTTTATAAAATTTACTTCTCTATAGAGACCTTCTCTTTTTGAGTCTGTCCGTCCTGTGTCTCCTACCAAGCTTTGAACTCATAAGGAACAGAACCTACATCGTTCATTCATTTCATTGCTATTCTTGTGCCTGGAAATAATGATTAAATCCTTTCAACACCCAACTCAATCCTTCTTGAATGGATCCAGTCTCCATTCCTGTGACTGTGCTACTCACAGCTGGAAGTGAATCTATCCCAAGCAGCCTGAGGAGGGTTGTACACTCACTTGTCCTATTCCAATCATCTTAAATACTTCAATCAGCACAGTATAAGATCACCTTGGCTTATGGCAGTTGTTCATTCATTTTTTCCTTGTACCGCAAGTGCCCACATTCCCCCTTCCACCCCAAGGTCCTGTTGAGCTAACCTAAACACAAGACCCTTTATTTATCCTGATGTTTTTATCATTTGAGACAGCTCATTACTGCAGCATAGCAATATATGTTTTGTGTTTTGATTTTTATCATCTGATAAATTCAGTATTCTTAGTTATTCAAGAATTTCAGCATGTTCTATTACTGCAATGGCTCTCAGCATTCTATGTATTATTATTTATATTATGATTGAAGTTTTGGTTAGAATTGGGTCAAGGTCAGAACTCAAGCATTACATTAAAAACCACCATAAGGTGATATATTTCATTTAGTTATTTGTAGACTTTTGGAGTCAGCAGTTGCCCTTATTTCAGGCCCATTTCTATGTTAATTATAGTATCTTGGGGGCCTTCTAATATGGTACATGCCTCACTGGAGTTTAAACACACTGCATTTCCATGGTTACACTGCCAAAGACAGAAATTAGACCAGCTTAACACGACTTTTCTTTGGTGTGCCTCTTTTTGTTTCTCACAAATCACTCTTGGATAACATCCTTTATAAAAATCTCACCCAAGATCTTGTCTAGCTCTAGAGTTTCTAATGTGAAGAGTCTACCTTCTCGTTTTCTAAATACAGCCATGGCATTTTCTCCTTGATTTTTTTTTTTTTTTTTTTTTTTTTGCATATCTTCTGTTCTCTGTAGTTTTTTGCAGAGCCCCCCAAAATGTTTTGGCAGTCTTCTTGTAAATTTTCTCAGGTCTCCAGAATGTGATCAGTCATGTCAGGCTTGTTGAAGTCTCTGTGCTCTATACTTATTGCTTCTTTCCTTATAAATGGAAAGAGTAATGATGTCATTCTGTGACTTTAGTCATTATGAATATTCACCTCTGGGCTTAGTAAAAAGTAGATTCAACTGCTCTGTTTAGATTTACTTTATTCCTTCCAAATCATTAAATAATATATGATTAAAGAACTACAGGAAAATAGACAGGAAACCTTAATAGGTTGATAACTTGTCAGCATTGTGGTGTCTCTCCCTGTTCCCTGTTGGTTGTGGTTTTTGGGGACTCTTCCAGGAATAGGTGTGTGTCTCCTCCTCAGTAATGGATGAGTACTGCTGTCCTCACTTTTCACCCAGTGAATGTTTGTAATTATCAGTGATATATTCCAGTCTTCGAGGAATCAAAGGATTCAGGAATCAGAATAAAATATCCCCATCTAAGAAAATATCCTCTTTTCTTGAATTTCTTAACATATAGCAGTTTTCTTTACAAATTTGTACACTCTTTGAACCTCTTTCTATTGATTTTAGTGTTATATCATTTGCATCATGCTCCTTTGCCCTGAACTGTTTCTTATTTTGCTACATCAGCTAGATGATGAGCCATAACTGCCTTCTGCCTGTGTCCCCTATAACCCTGCATTGCACGTGGGCAGAGTGGTACTCAAAAAATGTTCATTTCCTTTCTTCTTGAGTAATCAGTCTCATCAAAGTAAATATTATGAAATTATGTAAAATAACTCTGACATAATTACAAAAACACATTTTTCTGTTTCTTAAATAGTATGGTTCCTCCTATTTGTAGTAAGAATAAATAATTACTTTCCCAAAGATGTTTCTGCTTCTTCTCTCAAATTCTCTTTGTTCACTGAATATTTTTTCTTTTTTTAAATTAATTTTTAAAATTTATTTATGACAGCAGAATGCATGACAATTCATATTACACATATACAGTACAATTTTTTGTATCTCTGATTGTATAAAAGTATATTCACACCAATTTGTGTCTTCATACATGTATTTTGGATAATGATAACCATCACATTCCACCATTATTTCTAACCCCATACCCCCTCCCCTCCCACCCCTCTAGAGTTCATCTATTCCTCCCATGTTCCCCCTCCCTACCCCACTATGAATCAGCCTCCTTATATCAGAAAAAAACATTCGGCATTTGGTTTTGGGGGATTGGCTAACTTTATTATCTCCTCTGACTCCATCCATTTACCTGCAAATGACATGATTTTATTCTTTTATTGCTGAGTAATATTCCATTGTGTATATGTGCCACATTTTTATCCATTCATCCACTGAATGGCATCTAGTTTGGTTTCACAATTTAGCTATTGTGAATTGTGCTTCTATAAACATTGATGTGGCTGTGTCCCTGTAGTATGCCTTTTTTAAGTCTTTTGAGTATAGACCAAGGAGAGGGATAGCTGGGTCAAATGGTAGTTCCATTCCAAATTTTCCAAGGAATCTCCATACTACTTTCCATATTTTTTATATATTTATTTTTTAGTTGTAGTTGGACACTTTCCTTTATTTATTTAGTTTTATGTGGTGCTGAGGATCGAACCCAGGGCCTTGCAAGTGCTAGGCAAGTGATTTACCACTGAGCCACAATCCCAGCCCTCACTGAATTTTTTCTTCTCTTTTTTATCATATATTAGTTGCTTCATTATATTATACTTTTGACACTTATAATTTTTGGTTTCTAGCATTATTTGTTTCCCTGTTGCATGGTAACAATTCTGTTCTTTGCAACCATCTGCTGATTTTAAGGTGTGTGATTGTTTTCAGTGGCATAAAACACTTTCCTATCTTTACTTACCTTGAATGCTAATCTAGTATATTTATGTGTGGCATTTGTTTTTTAAAGTAGTAGACCTCATATCTTGTTTTAACAACTGATGAATTACAGGAGGGAATTTTGTTTGGTTGTTATTTTAAGTAAACATACCACATCAACTAAAAACTAAAGATTGACATAAAATTATTCTATTTTGTTGCATAAAAAGTTTGTAAGCCCATTTTTATCAGAGAAGAAAGTATGTTTCAGAGGGGTGGTAACTTGTTCTAGGGCTCCTAGGTTTTGATCCTAGACCCACTGACTTCAAACCTGAAGCTCTTCCTGCCATTCCTACATGAGAAAATCCTCCTCTTTGCAGATTGGGGCCCACCTGGGACTTGTATTACATAAAACTGGGAGTTAGAGAATTCACTGAATAGAATAGACACAAGAACTCTCCATGAGTCTAGCATCTGGGGGAAATGCACAAATAAGCTCATTAGACCTGTTTTCCATTTTTACACCTATTAACATGGCAAGAATAAAACAACCACTAGTGGAATCTAGAACCAAGATCCTCTCCACCAACCTGGGAGCCAGGGACCTTTGGTGATATGCATATCTTGTCTTTTACTTATAGGCTATGACTTTGAAAATGGATAGCAGGCTGATATTGAAATTTGAGAGTATGGGGGGAAAAATCCCAGATCAAACTAGAATTGAACACTGTGGAAATTAGTGATAAAAATTAAAATAGTAGAGTAATTTTTAGAAGTATGAAGAAAATTGAGAAAAATATTCATGGCCTCAGATGTCCCTCTAGCAGTATATGGTGTAATAAACACATCTAAACAGATAGCGTCTTCAGGGCATCCTACTACTTGATGTATTTACCTAATGACTGGAATGAAAAAGTGTCATCCTTCATTCATATATTCATTTATTCAGCAAAGATTAATTGAGGATCTATTGCATATGCCAGGCAATAGGCTAATCTCATGGTATGATATAGACTGTGCTCTCATGGAGACAGTTGTAAAGGCTGACATGTAAACAAGTTATTGTAACATTTTTGGCATTTTATATGGGTGTATTTTTCTGCTCTTTTTCAAAATTGCAAAATGCCCATATCAGGTATCACTAAGTCTCCTAGCAAATACACTGCTCTCAGTGAAGTGCTATCTTAGGAAAGATGTTCTGTCTCCCACTAAGAACCTATTCTGTCACAAGTTATGGACCTGGAAAACAGGTTATCTTTTCAACACCATCTCCCTAATCATTGTCATCTTTAGATAATCACACTTCTCTAAGGAAACCAAGTTAGCTCTAAGACCCCACCAAAGGTGTCTTTCATTTTGTTTAAATTCTGAATAATTTTATTTATTTATTTTTAAACCTTTGAATTTTAAATTCCTTTTTTGTGCTACATACATAGGCATAAGCCTCTTCTGTAATTAATAAAACATTTTTTCTTCTGTCATTTAATGTTTGTAGATGTCTTACTTTGTGTTACTAGTTCTTTGAAAACTGATTCTACTAGCAACCTAGAGTTGTTATTTAGTTTCTTGATATTCATATTTATTTATTATCTGTTTAAAAAATTAAGACGTTTAACCAAATTTTGACAACTTACTATCTGTAATATATTTTTAATAAGCCTTCCTCCCCAACCCTTTTGTGTCATTTTCTACTAAATGTTGTTTAAACATTGTCTAAATACTTTTTATTATTATCATTATTTATTTGATTCTTTTTTGTTTTTGTATCACTAAGCTATACTTTGGCTTTGGATGTTACCTTTCAGAAATCCAAATGCTGTAAGGAACTGTGATCATTGCTATAGAAGTCCACTGTTGTTCTTAGGAACCATCTGTAAATCCTCAGTCCATGCAGGAGTCCAGGAGAAAGTGTTAACCCTTTACCTGCTTGGTTACAGGAGGAATGCCAGCTCCTGAGCAGGCCTCATTGGTGGAGGAGGGGCAACCACAGACCCACCAGGAAGCTGCCTCCACTGGCCCAGGCATGGAACCCGAGACCACAGCCACCACTATTCTAGCTTCCGTGAAGGAGCAGGTACATGCTTTTATTAAAAGTTACAATTATTTCTTCAGTGCCTTTAAAAATTAATCTTTGGATATGTTTTAAATTTGTCTAACGACCTTGACACCTTCACGTTTTCTAATTATAAGGTGTTTACATCCCTGAGTACATTGGGATGACTGGCATGTAGAGCCGCTCCAGGTGCCAGTCAGAATCGGAACATGCAGGATACTTGTGCGTCTGCAAGTAAGGACAATATTGATGGTGATTGGTGTCTCTGTCTCCCCCACATTGCAGAGTATGTGCATGCACGCAAAATTGTGTAAAGCATATTTCATAATGCTGACTTTTCTATCAGGACTCTGTCAATCTGAGGCCTGTCATACTTATCCTTAGATATTTTGAGCATTTTAACATAGGTATTAGGGTTGTCTCTGTGATTTTCGGATAAAAGCTGTATTTGTGTGTTTGTCTGAATCCAAGTATATTCATTTTGTGAGCTAATGTTCTAAAACTTGTCAAGCTGTGGCAATTTGCTTCAATGTCATGTTTATGTCCTCTTTTTTAAGGAACTAATTCTCTGTATCCTTTAAACCCAAGTAACCATGTACATTAGGTCTTATCTGTAGTGCTTAGAGAAACTGGAATTCTGGAATTTAATTGCCTAATATTTAAAATCTTTATAAGGTAAATGTAAATTTAAAGTTCTAGGGATAGTTTTCTTTTCTGCTCCTTCCCTCCAATAAAAAATTAAATGCCCCCCTCCCGTGAAGGTTATTTAGCTGAAATAATATAATATTAATCTTTTTTAAAATGTTATGATTAAATCACTGGGTGCTTTAATCTAAATGTGTATTTTCTGAAATTTTTTTTAAAGCAGTATCATAGCTCAAATGACTAGTGATGGCTGAGAGTGTAGAAATAATTAATACCTTGCTATTTTACCATTTGCTATGTCTTAAATTAGGAATGTGGTGTAAAAGATTACTCTAAACCTATGACATGCATCTGACATTAGAACTGTTTTTAAGAAAAATCATTTCACAACTTATTCTAACAGTAAAATGTGAAAATGGAAAATGTTTCCATTTTTTGCTGGAATTAAAGTTTTTAAACCTTCCATATTTAAACACAAGAAAAGCACAGTCAGTATGGTTTTCTACTTTCACCAAACTATGGAACGTCTAAGCTTCTGTCACTATTAGGGGAGAGAAAAGGACTTTCCTCCGGTAGTACTCAATAATTGTAAAGAGTTGACGTAGGGCTCTAGATCTGTAAGACGTAAAAGTTCTGATTTATGTGCAGCATATAATATGTTCTGAAGAAACATAATGATAAATTTATCAAAATGCCCAAAACGGACTTAAAACTAGAAACTGTGCAATAAACATAGCAATGGGAATTTGGTATTTGTGCCTTAGACCAGATGCCTGCAAATTGAAGAAAATATGGAAGCCTATTAGGATTTTTGGCACTAGAATTCCTTGATGGCCTCAGATGACTTTTAAATTTTATCTTTTAGCAGTAAATAGTATCTGAATGAATGTTTTGTTATAGATAGCAAGGATTCCTGTTCCTCAAGGTAGCAAAACATATTGCAAGTATTTGGGTTATTCATTAAAAGACTTGTCATTTATTTCTCAGATAATTTACTTAGTGGAAGGATATACTCTAGTCTTTGCTTCTTTTCCTGTCCTGAGGAATTTGAGTCCATTAATATGCATTTGCAGTTTTCTTACTTAATTTCTTTTAAAAATTATCAATGCTCATTACCCAGGATTTCATTCATTCCACCAAGAACATCATGTCAGTCTCTTGTTCTGAGAAACACTCCTGATTTTATAGGGCTAACTTCAGCTTCCATCGGATTTTTTTGGCATCAAACAACATATAGTTGGATCAAAACTTCTTAATACTTTCCTGAAATATGCCACTCCTTATCATCTGCTTAATGAGACAGAACACAGAAAAGTAATATATAAGGAAGGTAATTACACTATATTTTATAAAATACTCATCAGAGTGACATTCTTAGGCTATAATTTATACTCAGCTATGATGATTAATGTTGATAATGTTATGTATCAAAAGAGCAATATTCTTGGATGGGGTACATAATTACTGGAAATCCTTACTGTTGTGCCGTGTTCATAGCTGTGGTATGATGGTATCAGCTCTGCAGATCTCAAAGGACAAACCTGGTTTCATAGCAGCACTGTCTCAGGAAGGCTGTTTCACTGGGGTACAGAAACAAGGGATCCTTTCAGGGCAACAAGGCAGATGGACTGGTTTTTTATCCTGGATTCTATGTTCACTTTATAATCTTGAGATGATTTCTTAACTTCTCTGTGCTTAGTAGCCTCATTTATAAAAATGAGAATGGATTTTTTAAAATTGGGGATGAATAATAGCAGTTATAAAGGATATTTAATCAACATGTAAAATGTCTGTAGTAGCACCAACATCTAATAAGGCCTAATGTTACCATCATCATCATCATCTCTACATAAGAAGAAAAGGTTCCTATTCGGTAGAGCTCATTATTCTACTTTTAGGCATATCTGTCTGGAATTCAGTGAGCTTTCTTTGGGATATTTGTATCAAAAGACCAAAAACACCTTTCTGAACTTTGAACAATGATTGTACTGTGTATTTTACTCATACACAGCATTAAACTTTCAATAATTCACTATACTGGTCTTACAAATTAGAATAGTTTTATGTATATATTATGAGAAGTAGAGAATGTGAAAATAATTTTTTTTTTTTTTTAATATGCCAATTTATTGCAACCTCACACTTAACGTCAAGGCACTTGGTTACAGAATTGCAAAATAAGATCTTTTATCACCTGGCTGGGGATATAGCTTAATTGGTAGAGTGCTTGCCTGGCACGCACAAGGCCCTGGGTTTCTAATCCCCAGTACCAAGGGAGGGGGGAGGTCTTTTAACACTCATCTGAATTTCAAGAGGGGACATCTGGGTTCTTTTTCAAACAGAGTGCATCCAAGCCACTAAGATAGTTCACATGTACTCCTCGGGCAATAAGGCAGGAAATGGCAAACAACAGGTAGCAATTTTTCTATAAGGAGTCTGTTAAACAACTGAAATTGGATTTAGGGTGTCATAAAATATTGGTATTTTCTTCCACTGGCCAAGCTTTACCTAGGATCCTCCATTGCCAGAAAGTGTTCCTGCTTCTTAGCATCATGTTGAAATTCATAGTCTCCTCCTTTTAAGAAGTTATAGCCTTTCACATTGATGTCATTCACTTAGGTACATACCTATGCAGGCACAGAAAGAGTCCTTAGTCTTTGACAGACAGAAATAACCCACTTCTGTTCAAGACTACTTTTTTAATGAAGCCATATTTACCCTAGCCTGTAGTCACATCTCTACTGATCTTCTTTGGCACTTTATACCACTGCTGTGACTTTTAATTGTATGCTTCTTTGGCTTCATATAATTGGCTTCCTAAGGGCAGAGCCATGTTTTACATTATTTTATACCTATTTACAGGTTTCTTCTCTCCTACCATGTTGAATGTATTAGTCCTGCAATAAATGATTGTTCAAGGAGAAAATGGAAGAGTAATACTATCAAATTGCCTTATCTCCAGTTTCTTGTCCCCCCTCCCCCCATTTTAATAATGGAACCTGTAGAGGTGAGGTTGTGGCTCAGTGATTGATCGAGTGCTTGCCTAGCACATATGAGGCCCTGGGTTCAATTCTTAGCGCCACATAAAAAATAAATGAATAAAATAAAGCTATTAAAAATTACCTCAATAAAAATAATAATACTGTAACCTGTAGCCACAACTACAGAAACATTGTCAGCACAAGTGTCTCACAGACAGCACCTAGACAACTCATTACTCAGCTGTACATTCTTGTTTTTAAGACAATTTAAACTTTAGTATATCCACACTAATCCAGAAATTAAATCCAGCCTCTACATAGAGCAAAGTAAAATTTATTTCATATTAGTGCTCAAATAATGGTGTAGATGTTAAATGCTTATCTCGCATCTCTACATATTAGCTGAGTTATGTACAGGAAATAAAAGGAGGCAGTTATCTTAGTGATGTCCCCAGTGTTATGTTTACAGAGTGATATGGGTAGCTGCCGAAGAAATGCTAAGGATCACACTTTAAGAGAAACAAAATGTCCACCCATGGAAAAACAAAGTAATGGGATCCTTGGTCTTGAGGCTAAAATTACAGGAAAGGTCCATTGAACTCCAGCCACCAGTTGGCTGTAATGAGGATCATCACTTGGCAGCTTCTGCAGTTATTTAACTCCCAATAAGAATCCAGGAGTCCATGATGATTACAGATATAGGAAAGGTGGAATGTTTGTTTCTTGATAGTTTTCAGGTATCTAGCAAACTTGATACTCTTGTGCTTAGCTTAACATCTTACATGTAGTAATTAGATAAATATTTCCAAATCTGGTACCCTCAAAGGGCCCCACCTCCTTCTATGAAAACGTTAGACTAAAATAATTAAATCATCCTTGCAATGCCTAGTACATCTTTGACTGGGGAGGAATTATAATTTGGCAAAATATTGGCTACTCATCCAGAGCCTTGCTCCTGCCCCCTGCAGCTGAGTCAGAAACACCAGAGTACTCACTTCACAGGCACAAGGAAGCCGTGGGCCAAGGCTGGGCCAAGGGGTAGAGTACATTGTACTTTTATAACTGATAGTATATGATCTCTTGATTCTAGAATGATCTTTAAAAGAGGACCACATGGCCAATCACAGATGGGATTAACAAGTATATTTCATATTTCTATATAGGGCGCAGGTTGATTTGTGTTCTCTAAATTGGCACTTGTAACGTTTATTAGATTTTTTTCATCTTCTGTCATAAAGTGGCTTGAATGACTGAGATCTATTTGAACATGGCCTTACTCTTCAGGCACTGCCATTTCATTGTTCTCTCACAAACATATTCTCTTATTTTTGGTTCATGATTTAAGAGTCTTGGAATCCATATTTAAGGTTGAGGCCCATCCAGATAGCCTGAAAT